AACAGTAAATAAATGTTATTTAACCATGATTATCATAAATAAGAAATAATTCCCGCCAAATATTATTTTAATTTGTGGGACCGGCAGACGTAATTTTTCAAGTGATAACAATGAATTCGCGTAACGATTGAATATCGTCATTATTTAAATAATATRTAAACAAAAGAAATTATTAAAATAACACAGTATATTATTTAAGGTCACTAAGTTACCAGGTACGAGGAACACCGCCAAGATGAACAACGGTGACAGCAACGACGAACGAAGACTTAAGGCAATGATAGACCGCTGGACTAAGGTGCTGCCACGTTACAGTTTTGACACCACGGAATAACGAACAATAAAATTGCGTCATATTCACGAGCATGTGACTACGAGTGGAGCAACAAGTTGTCGGCCAACATTCACAAGCGAATGGTCATTCACGTTGAGCAACGATTTTGAAGGTCGATATATCCACGAACTCTTTTAATGAAAGACAGTTGTGGAAATACAAGATAAAAAGAAGAGCACACTTTTTCCTTTTGTAACGTACGTTTTAAACCGCAAGAGCAACCGTTAACAACAACATAATAATGGCGACGGAGCAAACGGAGCCGGGAACACGTAGGTACGTAACAATCGAYAACGACCGATACGGCGGCGGCGGTGGACGCTTCGTTATCCGAACTCTGGTGACGAGGGTGTCAGGTTGACAAACATTGAAGGTGGCCGAGCGTGGTGCAATTGCCCACTAAACGGCGGTAGATTTGAATGCATGAAACGATTGAACATAATATGGGTTGGACAATTAGTCCTCTCCCCTCGGCTAAAAAGTTAAATACAAAACATTTTTTGAAATATGATTAATAATAATATATGCAAATTAATGTGAATAATAAAATTGATTAATAAAATAAAATAAATTAATTTGTATTATAATATTCTTATTATATATGAATGACTCATCGAGTAAAAAGTAAAATACTTGTCAATGAAAGATTAAAAGTGGTTATCGATGTTTAATAGTAAGACTTAAAATATACAAATTAATAAAAATCATCTATTGAAAAGTTAATATTAAAACTATGAAAATAGCTACAACATTTTTTTTTTCGTATCACTTAAAGGTTTCATAAAATTATTATTATTTTTTTAAATTTCATTGTTCTTTGTCAAAGAATAAAAAATAAACTATTCGGTATCTAAATAAGTAAGCGGTCAAAATTAAGGTGAATCGATTTTCAATAAAATGTTATATTATTTATCACGGGAATTAGGGAAATATTGTATTATGTACAGTTTGCTGGAAATAGGAAGTTATACTAAGTAGTGGTGGGCATATCCGGATTTCAAAAATCCGAATTATTCGGATTTGTCAAATCCGGATTTCACGGATTATCCGGAGTATCCGGATTATTCAAGTAAAATTATTATAGTAAAATTACTCAATGTTAACACGTTTGATGCAACAGAAATACTATTCCTACAAATATGTCTCCACTCTCCACTTGATATTTTTCGATAATTTTTATTTGATAATTGTAAAAGAACATGTCCGAGTAAACAATTATATCGATAACAATTATT